TCTCCTTTCATCTGACCCTTGCTACAGATTTATTTTTAATTTTATTTACATACATGTGTCTGAATGTAGTTGTCCATGGAGGCCAGAAGACGGCACTGGATTCCCCTGGAAGTGGAGCTGTAGGTGGTTGTGAGCCTGACAGGAGGGCTGGGAACCAAACTGAGGTGCTCAGTAAAGGCAGCAATTGCTCGTAACTACTGAATAGCCTCTGTAGCACCAAGGAATCTCACATTCTAAGTCAAAATAACTTCTCCTAAGAGGCCCTTCCTAGAGATGGCTTAGTGGTTAATAGCTCTGGTTGCTCTTGCATAGTGCCCTGGTTCAATTCCCAGCACCCATATGGCAGCGCACAACTGACCGTAACTCCAGTTTCAGGGGATATAATGCCCTCTTCTGGATTCTGCAGGCACTGCATGCACATGACGCAGAGACATACTTGCAGGCAAATCACCTGTACACATAAAATAAATAAGGTTTTTTTTTAGAGGCCTGTCTAGACTTTGGGGCCTGTATGGTTCCACCCAGCGCAGAGACAGGCCCATTGTCTGGGGGTCACGCTTGCATGGGCTTAGCTCCCTAAGCAGGGGATCTGGGTCACAGCAGCCTTGTCTCTTGTCTGTCCACTGCTTTTAAACTCTGGAGAGAGAAGTGTGACTGCAAATGAAGCCCCAGATCCCAGGAGGCCTCCATCCTTATTCAAAGCCCCACAGTTCTGCACTTCTTATGAGCTTTGATGTGATTCTACCTCTTCTTCACTCAGGCTATCCTGAACAGGGGCACAGCAAGCAGTTTTGCTGAGCATGGTTCACATTGCCACCTTCTGTTACCTCTCTTCCTATGCCTCTGGGGAAAACTGACAGAAAAGGCACAAAATAACACAGGGCTTGGGGGGGGGGGTGCCGAGGATGTTCCTATGTAAGGTTTACAAGCTTCTGAACAGCTCGGTGTTGTAACAGTTACAGTCAGGTGCTCTGTGGGGATCAGGATTCCGCTGGGTTTGGATGCCTGTAATCCATAGATGACAAAATCCACACTCCTCAGACCTTGAGAAATCACCCACTCCTGCAAGTTCGGAGCTCAGTTAGCAAGTGCTTTTTTGTTTCAGCTTCCATGCTAACTTATTCCCCGACTCTCCTCCAAAGCCAAAATTAGACTCCATTATATATACTTTTTCTGAATGAGGGAATTTAGGAACCTGACATTTTGTTCTAGTGCTTCTTGTTGGCAACTGTCACCTGTCTGACAATTCTAACCAGTTTTTTTTTTTTTTAACCCAGTTTGTCACCCCATCATGGTCTTTTCCTACCATTTTCAGCCCCGTCCAGGGCTTGGAGGACCCTGTGGGCCAGTCTTAAGAGCCTCTGCTGAGATGGCCTGGCCTGGCAGCATTTCTCTGTATCCTCCACAGATCCTGGTCATGGAGCCAACCCCTTGAGGGACAGATGGACATCTTGATGGACAGATGCCACACTGTAAAAGTAGCACACATGTAGAATCTATTCTCATTGTGCGGAGCAGATTCTTTATATTCGGCCCGCATGACAGTGTCCACCCATCTGGGCACTTTTGGGCTTGCTGGACTCTGAGGAAGGCTGCCTGATGATGGTTTATGGTCTTTGATCGTAACTCCAGGATAGAGTAGCTAGTGTGCTGACAGCCAGGGGAAAGGAGCCAGACTGCACTGGATCTTAAGAGCAAAGGCTGGAGGGGGGATACCAGTCCAGATATTGTCACAAGCAGTTGTTACAAACATGTGGAGTACAAGATCTTTTATTGTCCCACGTGATCTTGGTAGGACTCTCAGGAAGATGGCCCCCTTCCTTTCAGGGACTGTCTTAGGGAATTTAAGGATGCATTAAGGAATGAGTTGTCACTGTGAGTCAAGCCTGTTTTACATAGGACATTCCAGGTCATCCAGGGCTACATAGTAAGACCCTGTTTCATTACAACAAATGCAGGAGGGCAGGCTGGGGAGACCGCCCGGCAAACAAAGCACCTGCTTGCTGTCCAAGCCTGACACGCTGAGGTCAGTCCCCACATAGTCCAAGCACAAGAGACAGGAAGCAGCTCCCACGGTTGTTCTTGGCCTCCACTTGCTGGCAGGAGCAGGTGGACATCTGCACTTACACACACTAATTAAAACTTTAAAGAAAAGCAGAATGTTTTAAATATCCCTTCTAACTGTATTCTTACAAAAATTGGTCATCAGGTGGTCAGAAGCAGAAGAGATATTAAAGGCAGGTGTGGCTGACAGAAAGAAACTGCCCTGAAATGGAGCTAGAAGGATAACCTAAAGAGACCATTGGCTTGGTGTGTGTCTAGCGGTCTTAAAACCCACTCAGAGTTGCAGAGATGACTCAGAGGTTAGGAGCACTGGCTGCTCTTCCAAAGGTCCTGAATTCAATTTCCAGCAACTACATGGTGTCTCATAACCACCTATAATGAGATCTGGTGCCCTCTTCTGGACTGCAGCATACGTGTAAACAGAACCCAGTACACATAATAAATAAAATCTCAACCAACCAACCAACCAACCAACCAAACACCCACTCAGCTTGCCTGAATGCCTAGATATCCGAGAAACCAGTTCCTGGTTATTCTAGGTCTATTTCGTAATGTTACTTGCAGATAATTTACAGTATTTATCTTCCTATCTGGCTGATCCAGTTTTATATATTAATTTCAACTTTGTAATTTACCTAAAAAACAGTCTGTATTCATTTTTGGGTGGTATAGGAGATTGGCCTCTACTCCTTCATTATGAAAATAATTTTACAAAATAAAAGATAGTGAGCATTACACTTAACCTCATTCCAAATTCTCTCAGGTATTTACAGATACTTACATCTTTATACAGTTGTGGTCAGTGTCTATACACTTATCTTAATCTTATTTTCTACTTTAATGAGAACACCTATTTGTCATAGTGGATCAATACAAAGCATTTCATCTTACTTATCTACCTTGAGCCTTTCCGACTTAATTGATTCTAATATCCATAGGAAGCACAGTTCATCTGTATCCATTCTGTCATGGTGGAGCGTGTGTTTCATTTCCTCCTCAAAATGATTCCCCACCTTTTTCAGTAACTGACAAAACAAAGTTCATGAAGTGGATGCTACAAAGTGAGTCCTCCAACGTCATCCAGGGGGGCTTCCTGTTGTTTGTTTGAATTTTGGAGACAAGGTATTGTGTGGCCCAGGTGGCCTCAAACTGCCTTTGCAGCCAAAGATGACCATGAACTACTGATCCTTCTGCCCACACTTCCTAAATTCTGGGATTACAGGCATGTCTCACCATCCCTGGCTTCCACCATATTTCATTAAAAAAAAAAAAAAAAGAGAGAGAGAGAGAGATTGGGGGTTTGGAGAAATGGCTCAGAATTAGGACACCTTCATCAAGCCTGATGACCTGAGTTCAAACACATGTAGAAAAAAAAAAAAAGATTAGGGAGCAGCAAGATGGTTTGGCAGGTAAGGGTGCTTGCTGTGCAAGCCTGATGGTGACTTCATGATGAAAGGAGATAGATGATCTGAGTCCTGAAAATTATCCCCTGAGCTCCAAACAGGCATGTGCCTGCAGTCATACACACATCATGGACAACACCATGATAAATGTTTTAGGAAAAGATTAACCATCAGGAGATCATCTGAATCTCGCCTCACTCATGGTTATCAAAGGGTGCTAACCTTTTCTGGTAGTAACCTTATCTGGACTAGAAAAACTTTCCTTTGGCCCAATAAATAGGATGCGCATCAAATCAGCACTTTAATGTGTTAAGTAACACAAACTCTTTTGCTATTTCTGATGCACACGGTTGACGTGGTTCTGGAGCCTCAACAGCCTAAGTGTCAGATGATGAACATATGAAAACAGTAGCTAGGCTTTTGAATTGTCGTATTCTAACAAACTCCCTTCTAAAATATTATTATAGGGCTGGAGATACAGCTCGGAGACATAGTTCTGGCGTAACTATAAAAACTCCGGTTTAATCACCAGCAGTGCAAACTTACAGTAAGAACTTTTTCAAAGTTACCAGTGGGTTCCCAGTACAGTTTGCAGTCTCAGCTGCTCCAAAGCCACCAGAGGGCGCTCGTTCTCCGTCGATTTAATCCCTAGCGACAGAAAATTCAGGTGAAAGTCATCTTTCAGAGTCAGGGAGTCTTTTCCCTTTCAATGCACATCTGCTTCCCAAGAACTTACTTAGCAGCCAGTCTCGGGGGCACGGGGTCATAAGGCACAGTGGTGAACTAGGCCTGATTCCTACGAGAGGTCCAAAGTGTAGCACAGACTAAAAGCAAACACCGGCAACGAGAAGATGGAAGAAGCGTCTGGGACCCTGACGCTGGTGATCCTGATAGTGGCTCCTAGCGCTAGAAGCTCTCAGCTCCTCCTCTCCCTCGGGTGACCATCGCCGCCCCAAGGCGCGGTGTCAGTCACAGCAGGGGCCTCTCCTAGAGGGCCTCCACGCCTCCGCGGGCGAGCGGCTCTCCTCACGCCTTTTCCCACATCCTGCAGCCCTGGGCTCACTAATGCTCCCGGGCCAATTTGTCCTCCAGCCAAGGGACTGCCTAGAACTACCGTTCGTTACGGCCCGCGCGCCTTCTTTCCTGGCTTAAGAGCCGCGGGCTTCGCCTTTCGAACGTGTAGCTTTCCGTTCTGATTCTCGCGACAGTTCAGAAACCTCGCGTGAAGCCCGCTCCCCGTCCCCGCCGGAGTCGAGTATCGTCTGTGTGCAGCTCCCGTCCACCCTGTCGCAATCCCTCTGGCCAGGAGGGCGCCCGTGCTGACTGAACGCTCCTTTGAGGAGGGCCTTTGAGAAGAGCGCAAAGAGGGTCCCGCCTCCGTCCGCAGCGGGGACCGGAGGCCGCCGCGGGCTCCGCGCGCACGCGCAGTCAGGGACGTCGCCGCCTCGTGGGCGGGGCCTGGCCAAGCCCCACCCCTTCCTTCCCCGCACACTAGTTCCTAGGTTCTTGGACTGCGGCTTCTGGAAGCTGTTAGGGGGGCCGGCAGGGGCGGGACCTGCCTTTCTCAGGGCGGTGGGCGGTCCTCTGGGGATGCTTTGCTTCCTGCCCGAAGCCCAAAGTGCCACCGTGGCGTTGTGGCAGTCTCCAGACTGAGCACTTCTGGCCCTGACTTAAATTTGTAACCTGTAATTCGGACCCCGAGAGACGCCCTACGGGGAGTCAGCCACCGGTCTCGCTGCGGCCGCTAGCCTGTTCCGACCTCTAATCACCAGGCTCCGCCGCTGGTTCAAGCACCTGCCCTATAGTGGGAGGGGAGGTGGCCAGATGCGGATGGCAGATGGAAACGCCAATAAACTAGTCTGCGCCCCAGTGGAGAGACTGGGGGGCACAGCTGCGAGCCGTCCTGGGTGGAAGCCTGCCCTGGGCCTGCTCTCCAGAAGCGCCCATACTTAAACGTAAACTTTCTTAGCACCAGAGCCGTTTCTTTCTTCCCATTGCCGCTCTCAAGAACCAAATCGGATGAGACGGGTCCTGGGGGTTCAGCCAACAGTTTGGGCCCCTCCGCCATTCCCACCCTACTCTCCATCTCCAGTTCTCACACCCTTGCTTTCCCAGCTTAGGCGTCTGGTTACGGCTGCTCTGAGCACTCTTTGTGACTTTGGGCTAGGGTTGAAGTAAAAGGCCCAGGAGGGTCCCTGTGCGACTGGACACAATTATCATCCACAGGACCTGGGAAGAAGGCGGGTTCGACGTCTAGGGGCGGGGAGAAGGGGCGGAGGAGCTCCTCTTTGAATCTTAGTCTGTGGGCTGCGGACGATCCCCCAGCCCCCGACAGAAGCAGAGGTAGCCAGCGGATTTGGCTGGCCGTGCGTGTAACTCTCTTCTCTCCCCCTCCCGGATTTTTTAGGATTGGAAATCAGCCGTTAAGAAGGGTCTAGTCCAAGGCACTAGGTGAGTCGCCCGGACGCCCCCATCATGACCATCACCCCTCCCTGAACTTTTTACTTCACATGTAGTTTTATCCATCTCTGGGGCAAAGGTGCATCAAAGTTGGGTGCTTTAGGGAAGTGGTGCTGGTGTGTGTGGTGTGGTATGGTGTGGTGTGGTGTGGTGTGGTGTGGTGTGGTGTGGTGTGTGTGTGTGTGTACATGCGTGGGTGTTAGGGACCATACCCCGGGCATTATCTCCCATTCTCTCTCTTCACTCCAGCTCGGTTACCAACTCGCATAAACCCCAGGGACTCACCAGGTCTCTTTGTTTGGGCTTCTGGTTGGTTCTAAGGTAGCAGAGGAAGGGGCAGTGTTAGCTGTTTGCACCAGGAGCGGTGAGGCTGGTCTTGCAACATTGGCTTTACTTCTGACCTGCAGACCTGGCTTCCCTCTCCTGGCAGGGTGCCACCTACGCGCCGATGCCCCGAGGACTCACAGGGCTCCCAGCTGACCATGCTGCACCTACTTTGGCGCTGCCATTGCTACTGCTATTATTGCTGGTGGTGTGGACCCCGCCCCCCGCTAGCGCGAGGCCGGTCGCAGGCCCCGATTACCTGCGGCGAGGCTGGCTGCAGCTGCTGGCGGAGGGCGAGGGCTGTGCCCCCTGTCGGCCAGAAGAGTGCGCTGCGCCGCGGGGCTGCCTAGCAGGCCGGGTGCGGGATGCCTGCGGCTGCTGCTGGGAATGCGCCAACCTGGAGGGCCAGCTCTGCGACCTGGACCCCGGCGCTAACTTCTACGGGCGCTGCGGCGAGCAGCTGGAGTGCAGGCTGGACGCGGGCGGTGATCTGAGCCGAGGAGAGGTGCCGGAGCCGCTGTGTGCCTGCCGCTCGCAGCGCCCGCTGTGTGGTTCCGACGGCCGCACCTACGCGCAGATCTGCCGCCTGCAGGAGGCCAGCCGCGCTGTGCCCGACGCTAACCTCACTGTGGTGCATCCAGGGCCCTGCGAATCGGGTACGCACGCCCAGGGGCTTCCTAAAGGCCCTGCGCCCCGTGGCGGAAAGCATTGGTCTATATGGTCAGCAGAGTGAAAACAAAACAAAACAAACAAACAAAAACCACCGACAGCCTCAAAGGTTGCCAACTGAAAGGCAGGTGGAGATCTGTTGGCGGGTCTGGGCTGCTAAACCAGCCCTCCGGAAGACCAGGCACATAGCTAATAGTTGATCAAAGCCGAAAAGACCCCCAACACTTTGCCTATCCTGCTGGTGCTCAGGCTGTGGGGGACGGATGTCTGTTAACAGATGCAGCCTGTTAACCCTGGCTCCTGCCTTTCCTTCTTCTCTTGCATTTAGGGATTAGCGAAGGGAAGATGGCTTCTTGCTTCTCTCGCCCCTCATCCCGTGGGCTGGGGTTGGGGGATGTTCAAGCCTGAGGTTTTCCTTGGCAGCCCTCACTTCCTAATAGAGCCTGGCTGGGCTGGGGTTGCAGTGAAAACAAACGTGCCAGCAGGGGGGGTCCCAACAGTTTTCCCCGGTGCAGCAAGGTGGTTTCAGGTTCCCCTACCTCAGAGCCAGTCCCACCTCCACCCACTCAGAGCCCAGATCCGTGTCACATTCTCACGACATTTGGAATGTGGCTGCTCTTCAAGCCCTTGGGAACTGGGCCTACCTAGAAAAGGGGGAAGGAGGTGTTGGTTACATGGCCCGCAGGAAAGGGGCCCTAGGGTGGAATGAGGACAGGGGAGCAGTCCGGGACAGAGCACGGTTGCCCAGCTAAGCTGGCTCTGTAGACATATTTGTGCAATTTATGCACTGTTCCGTGTGCCTCTGTGTGCATCTCCACACTCGCTTTTGTGTCCTTGTGTGTATCTGCACCCACGTTTGTATGCGTTCCTGCTTGTGGCATGTTTTGTTTGCAGATGTCTGTTGCCCTGGCATGCTTTGTGTTCTGCCCCAAACATGTCCACATTATTTTATATTCCGTGTTCTTCCCAAGCTGGATGCAGCCTCCTGTTCTCAAGCTTTATACTTCCACCCTGCCCCAGAGCCCCAGATCGTGTCACAGCCTCACAATATTTGGAATGTGACTGGAAAGGATGTGATCTTTGGCTGTGAGGTGTTTGCCTACCCCATGGCCTCCATTGAGTGGAGGAAAGACGGCTTGGACATCCAGCTGCCGGGGGATGACCCCCATATCTCTGTGCAGGTAGGAAACGGAGCAGGGGCCAACTCCGGGAAAACCTAGGGCTTCCCCAGTTGACCTTGCTGACAGAACATCCGGCTCCAGTTTAGGGGTGGACCTCAGAAGTTTGAGGTGACTGGCTGGCTGCAGATTCAGGCTCTGCGTCCTAGTGATGAGGGCACCTACCGCTGCCTTGCCCGAAATGCCCTGGGCCAAGTTGAAGCCTCTGCTACCTTGACAGTGCTCACACTAGGTAAGCCAGCCCTGAGCTCTGGGTGCCAGGAGGATGGGCTGCACTGGGGCCCTTGAATGCATAGAAGGAACAGTTGCGTGGGGTATTGCACACACACATACACACAGCTTTCCCACACAGAGCTGTGCTTGCCTCTCCCCTGATCCTTTTCCTTTATCACATGTGTTTGCAGACCAGTTGAACGCCACAGGAGTCTCCCAGCTGCAATCACTGAGTCTGACTCCTGAGGAGGAGGCGGAAAGTGAAGAGAGTGAGGATTACTACTAGGCCCAGATCTCTGTGTGTGGGTGTGTGGGTGTGGCATAGCATTCCACCCCTGCTGTTGAGAAGGTCTGGAGACCCCGGCTGGAAAGGGTGAGCAGGGTCCATTCGTGGATTGTTTAATGTTCATTGTAGCCTCAGTTTACCTTTTCCTCAAAACTCATCTTCCACCTCACCATGTTCCTAGGGACACTTAACCCTAGGGTTAGGGGTTAAGAGTAACCCCAGTCCTTTCTGAGGTAGAGGTGAGCAGTAGAACGGATTTAGTTCAGTGCACTGAGAGGGGTGGGGTAGCCCATGTCCTCCACCGCTCTAGGGGACAAAACCCACCTAGCATAGACTAGACACCGTGGGCACCAATAAAAATTATAAACAAACCGAGCCACACCGCTTCGGGTAGTTTTTACAGATGTGCACGTGGAGACCAGACCGTCCTGAGGAGCCTCCCACCCCAGCAGACTGGCTTCCAGTGATTGCAAGCCTGCGCTGTGAGAGAAGGCTCGACTCAGCCTATGCCGCCCTCTCCTGTCCTCAGTGAGGGGCCTAGAGCAACCAAGTTGGAGGGAGGAGCCCCCCCTCAGCCCTATTCTCTCTATCTCCCAGTCCTTACTGTCTCTCCCACCCGACCCCGAAGTCATAAAAACCCAGTTGTGAGCGGTCTCTTCTGATCTGAGGTCCTCCACAAAGGCACTCCTTGGCCTAGCTCCCTCCGCATATTCTCCATACCTAGCCCGGGGACACTGAGGAGTTTATGACATTGTTTAAGGGTAGGGTGGAGTTAGTCATCGGCCCAAGATGCTGTGTGAGGAAAGCGACAACCTCCTACGCGCCCGGGTTCCGCCCGGAGCTGGCGCCACCGCGGGGAGGGACGGCTCTTGGCTCAGCTTCTGAGTTTGGGTTGTGGGACCCAATGCAAGCCGCCGGGCCCCCTGGGAGGAGGTGTGGCCGGGCGCCCCATCCTCCGGCCTGGCCACCGGTCCTGCGCTGAGCGCACTGCATCTCTCCAACTGCCTCTGGCTGGCGGCGGTCACTTTTCCAATACCGTCCTGACCGCGGTCCCCGGTAGCCGCGAGTTGTTGGGCGCCGGAGGAAGCGGGAGAGTGGGAGGGTCTGGGCCGAGCCCGGAAGGGGCGTCCTGCTGTGAGACCCCCAGAAGTGAATCACTCGGGTTTCCCCACCTTCGAGAGGGAAGCTGGGCCTGGGTCCCGGCGTCCACCGCCACAGCCTGCTCTTTGCTCTGCGGGGGTCCAGTGCCCCGTGGCTGGCCCGGCCCCTCTCAGCCACCTGCGGCGCGCAGGCTGCTGGGGAGAGCGGTGTGCTGGCTCTCCGGGGAGTAGCCTCCTTCCCTGACCCCTCAGCTCCCCTCCCCCCCCGTCGCCTGGAGGGTTCGGGCCCGGCAGCGGGGAGAGGAAGGACGCGCAGCCGCCCACCGCCCGCACCCTCCCCGCACCCCGCCTCTGCTGCGGCGGACGGGTTTAATAACGTCGCTGGAAAGTGACACGCGATTTATTATTAAAGTAATGCGGGCGCGGGGACGGGAAAGGTTTAATAAACGCGCTGAGATGCCTAGGATTATTCACCGCAAATAAATGAGAGCGCGGGCGGTGTTTTAATAAATAATTTCCCGCCGCTCCCGAGGGAGGAGAGGGGGAGGACGGGGGAGCCGAGCGGCTGCGGCACTCCCGGTTCCTCATCCTCACGGGCTTCAAAGCCGATTGCACTGGACGGCTCACAGCCGAGGTGTGCGCTTCCTGGAGAGCCGAACCAGAGAGGCCCAGGCCCGGCGGTGGGAGACGCCCTGGACACCACCACCGCGCCCTGCGCCCCCCTCTGGGACCTTAAGTTGTTTGCAGAAGGCGTAGCAAATGGGTTCCTTTTGCTCCCACCTGGAGGCTGGGAGTCAGGGAGGGGAACCAGGGGGCTCCCCCAAACTTGTAGTCCTGACCTCCGACCCTCGGGGTGGGCTGTTCTCTCGCTCTTGGCTCACCTGGCTGCATTTCTCTTCCATTCGGGGATGGGTGTGCGGACTGTGTGTACAGGTGTGTGTGGGGGTGTCTGTGCTAAAGGCTGCGGCTCTGTCACCGTCTTTGGAGCGGGAGTAACTGGAACGTTGCTTAAGGCTCCAGCACTCTCTCCTTCGCGCTGGTCGGAATCGAGGATCTGGCCTTAAGGCGGGTCACACGCGCTGGAGGACCGACCCCTGTGGACCGACCCCTGCAGGAGGTTGGTCCGAGGACTGGAGTTAGCCGGAGACCCCAGGGGCGGTCCCCGCCCATCCAATAGAAGCCTACAGGCTTGAGAGGAGAGGGAGAACTTGATTTTGAAGAGGCCAAAATTACAGGCCTTGGGGTCCTAGGACGCTCTCACTGTAATGCGAATGGTGATGGAGCCTGAGTCTGTACACCTACCACCAAGAATGGTGCCTTTAGTGGGGAAAAGCGACCCCTCTGGCAATTCTTATTAATACAGGAGCTGGGGAGAGGCTGCCATCTAGTGGACATGTCCGGTAGTGGCAGCTGGGCCTAGGTTAGGGGCCTTGAGAGGCTTGGGTGGGGGAGGAGGACAGGTGACGGAGGAGGATGGGTGGGAAGATCCCCAAGAGAGGGCTGTAAAGATGGCTCAGCGGTTAAGAGCACTCATTGCTCTTCCGGATTTATTATTATTATTTTTACAAATAAAAATAAATAAATTCTATATAATAGAGACTTTTAAAGAAGAGGTGATTTATTAGGGGTGTGGTGGAGCATGCCTTTAATCCCGGGCCTGGTTCCAAGAGCCTGGAAGTGGGCATCAGATCACCGAAACTGAAGTCACAGATGTTTTGTGAGGTGCCATGTGGGTGCTGAATCAAACACAGGTCCTCTGGAAGAGCAGCCAACCCCATTCCTTCTTAAGAAGAGAAGCTATGGATGTCCATTTGTGGTATACAAGTCAAAGCTTACTTCTTCTCAAGGTAAAGTACCTTCAGGAAAGGGTCACAGACAGGACCCCTGTGGGCAGTGTAAGGGTCACTTAGTCTGGATGATAATAAGCTCTGGGAGTCAGCTGCAGATCAGGAGGAGGACACTTGGGCAGAGATGTGGCTGTTGAATCAAGAAGAGCCTGAGGGAAGAAATGAGGCCAGGTGCAGAGATGGAGTTAAATTAGGGGACCAGCCAGATGCTCCGGTGTCAGCGATATAGGAGTGTTGAGCAGAGCCTGGAAAGCAGCTCAGACAAATCACCCTCTCCTCCTCCCAGAGATTCCTCTCCCCTGGAGAAGCCCTCTCCCCCAGCCCTCTGAGGCCCTTTCTGTGTTAGGCTGGATTCCAGATGTGCTGGGGGCAGAAGGGGTGAGCTTTACGGCTTCGGAGCTTGGCCTAGCTTAGCTGACTCACTGGTGGGTAAGGTGGGGCTGGTGCTCAACACCAGTGTTCCATGAAAGACTGTCCCAACTCCTGGGTCATTTTCTACCATGCTGTCATTACAGTTCTGGTTTAAACTCAGTCCAGGGCACTCAGAGGAGGGTGGGGCCTGGGTCTCAAAAAAGAACATAATCCCCATAAGAAGAGTTCACTCAAGGGGCTGAACTGGGGAGCTCCTTCTTCCTCTTCTCTTTGGCCACAAGGATGCTGTTAAGGCCCAGAGTCTTCAGGTGCTCCCGAGTGTCTGGAAACAGACATGTCCCCTGTCTTCCCACCTGCCTTTGCTGAGTCTGTCTCCTCACTGGTCACCTTCCCTGAAGTCCTCCCTCTTCCTAGAGTTGAGGTCTTTGGGGGGAGGGGAGGGGCGAGGGGATTAGGTTAAGGTCTCACTATGGAGCCTTGGTTGTCCTGGAACTTACTGTACAGACCAGACTGGCCTTGACTCTTCAGGCTCTGCCCACTTCTGTCCCCTAGGGATTACAGCTAGGTGCCACCACACCTACACCGAGCTGTAGGCTTTTCCCTCAAAGGTCAGGAGGGGTTACAGATGCAGGCAGGATTTATTTTTGACATTTTTTTCCTGCCATCCAGGCAACTGAAGTCTCCTTAGACAGAGTGGATAGTTATGAAAGACAAGCTTTAGGTTAGGTGTGCCCCACAGTCAAATCTCATTCCAGCCATTGAGTGTCGAGCACACTGGGAGGCAGGATAGACCTGAAGGAGCTTAAACACCCAGAGTCTTCTAGGAGGAAAGAAAGAACCCCTAAGAGAAATGGTGAGGGGCTGAGGGAAGGGATGGATCTTGCATGGATGGTGGCTGAGGACTCTAGGGACAATGGTTTCCTGTCTCTCATCTGTTCCTGGTCCTAGGGCAGAAGGCCCTAGGAGACAGGAGGCTCCTGTCTCCTTGGCTGAACTGGCCTGTCGGTGAGCCAGGTTCTAAGTGGGGTTTCTCTAGATCTTCTGCACCTCCTCACCATGCGCACTAGCATTAGAGGGGCTGAATGTTGGGTGGTAGCGGGGACCTCTAAGGTCATCAGTTCTGAAGGGTGGAGATAGGTCCTAGCAGCAGAGCTAGGGGTGCTAAGGAAGAGCTGAGAGTCAGTTTTGCTCTTTTTTTCAGTTCAAGGCCTTCAGCCAGCTACTTCCTTCCTTCTTTTTTTTTCCTTAAACCATTGAGGGTATGAGATTCCATGGAGCTGGGGTTACAGTCAGCTGTGAGCCTCTACGTGGGTACTGGGAAGAGAAGTCAGGTCAGGTCCTCTGGAAGAGCAGCAAGTATTCCTAATGGCTGAGCCATCTCCCCAGCCTCCAGGGCCAATCTCTTCACCTTCCTTCTTCTGTACCATCTTCTGCAAGATAACAGTTCACAGGCACTAGAGTCCCTACAAGGGACATACCTAGAGCAAAACATGTGCTCCACAAATGGTCATAACTGTATCAAGATTATGTCTGGGCCTGTGATTGGCTGAAAAGGGGCAGGGTGCCCAGGGCAGGGTCTCCTTTGAAGTGCAATGCAACTTTGTGCCAGCCTGGAGGAGGCCTTCAGAACTGAGCCTTCAGAAGAAGGGGCGGGGCTGAGACGGGACGGAGGTGCACAGAGACATGACTTCCAAAGAGCTTTGCAATGTCGTCCCTACCCCAGCCCTCTACAGGGAGCCCCTGTCAGAACTCAGGGCTCTAGCTCTGTCTTGTGGGGAGGGGCATCCCCCAAACTCACCTCCATCCATCTCTTTTATCTGGGCTGATGAAGGGTCGGAGCCCCAATGGGGCCTCTGACGGGGAACAGATACAGCCCAGGCGGAAGCTGCCAGAACTGCACTGAACTGAGGACAGGGCCAGGGGTCAGTGAAGACAGATAAAGCTCAGAGCAGCTGGGGGCTCAGGGGACCCTTGAGGAGGCCTAGCAGGGACTGAGGGCTGGTTGCCTCCTGGGAGGAGGCAGGGCCGGAAGCCTCTGATGAGGGCC